CAGTTTCAATTATAAACAAACTACAAATAACACCTTTGAGAGAGACTGCAGCAGCCTTTAATACAAGTGCACACAAGTTTAATATGAGATCATTTTGTGGTATTGTTTCTCTCTCTATATATATATTTTTAGCATAATACTGTACTAAACTTTTCTATGTGCCTTAGTATACTTCCCTTCGAAGTTTCCATATAAGGTGGTAAATATTCTTGTATGTGTTATGATTCACGATAAATGTATAGTTATAAATGCATACAGGTTTATGCAAATACTATACATAGCACCATTAAGGACAGACATGGTACAAAGATACTGTATACTGCACTAGACAAATATCACAGTCGTGCGAGAGGTGTGTATGTGTGTCGTAAACTGAATCATGTGTGCATAATATCGAATGAGTACTGTGGAATATCGAATTGAAATTTGTTTTCGATTCTCATCAAAGTTGGGGAGGGGGGGGGGTGGGTGAGAGTTCTCGGTTTATATTCACTCATGAGATAAATCACTTCCCTACCTTTTTTTAGACAATTGTGTAGTTGTTTATACACGAGTCTCATATATGTGTGTGAAGGTCTCTTAATTCTGAGAGGTTCCTTTGGGTACATATCTTAAGCTAGGTAAGATGAGGTTAAGTTTGGGAAGGTAAAGTTAAGTTATGGTTGGGTTAGGTGAAGTTAGGTTAGGTTAAGTGAGGTTAGGTTAGGGCGTATTAAGGCTGAGGCCCATTTCACCTGTAACCTTACAGCTTTGATCACACAACACCTTTCTCCTCTGACCTGGTGGGCTACTGACCTTCTGCCCAGGACAAAAAATAAGAAACCGTTTATAAATCTCAGGAGAAGGAGGGTAGGAAGAGAGGCAAGGGAGGCAATAACTACCGGGGGAGAGGAAGGAAGGGAAGGAGGGAGGGTGGGTGTGTAGTAGGAGTCTGGACTGGTTATAGCCTGGGGGTGAGGGAAGGATAATGAGGGGGGAGGAAGGAAGGAAGTAAGGAGGACAAAGGAAGGAGGGGATGAAATGAAGAAGTGAGGGGGGAAGGGAGGGAAGGATGAAATAAAGAAGTGAGGGGAAGAAAGTAGGGAGAAACGAAGGAAGGAAGAATCGAGCGAGTAGGGAGGAGAGTGGATATCTGGATGTGGTTGGATTGAGAGGGTGTGCTCAGGGAGGGAGGGAGGGAAAATGCGTGTGTGTGTGTGTGTGTGTGCAACTTTAGGATGACGGTTTAATCACTCAAGGTCGATGGTTTAACGTTCTCAGGGAGTTAAAACGTCTCGCAGGCACACGTTGCTGGTTTACCAACATTGATGAAGAAGTCGTCAGGTTCCTCAATGACAGTTCACAAATACGGTGTCAGTTTCGTTTCCCGTCTATGAAATCTTCTCCTAAATAGATAGATGTTACACACACACACACACACACACATACACACACACACACATACAAACAGACAAGGATATAGATAGCTTGCATACTTTAAGCTATAGACAATGCGCGTATACAATGGTAAACAGTAAGTCGATTCGACCAAGAATAACCCAACACATGCAACATACGCAGCCCTATGCTTATTTCCTGTAAGAATTTTTTTATAGGTAACCTGTAATTTACTTTCATAGTCCTTATCTTTGGTCTAGTAACAAGTGTAGTAAGGCTTGCAATTTTCATTAAGAACTAGTTTATTTTTAATTGGCAAATGGGTAAGCTATTAAATATTCACAATAATTAAATTATAAATCCGATTATATTAAATTTTGGAAACTACTTTGTTGGCCTAAATATAATGTTTAGTCAAAAGTGTGAAATATTTCTTCTAAGTATTTCAGACTATTCTCTGAGTATTAGTTTAATAATATATTTAAGGTTATATTTCGTGTAGTACGTTTCATTTAAGTTAATTATGCTTATTGTTAGCCTTATTTTAACTATTTCACCTTTCAGCATTAGTTCTCTTCTTACTTTGTACAGGATGTAGAAATTCTCCTTTCTGGCGACTTGCCTCAGAGAATAATCTCGAATGCCAAATTTTCTTTAAAGGAGCCCCGTATACTGCATATATTAACTTTTAAATAAATCTCTTATTATTATTTCCTATTTCACTTAATATATTTTCACTTTAGCATTCATTAAAAGTGTGAGGTATCTAAAGTATCCCAAGCTAGCGGGAAATATGATTTATATTTCAGTGGAGTGTGTAATTTTATTTCAATAAACAACATCGTTTTTCTAAAACAGACAGTACTGTATTTATTTTGTACAGTACTTTATTTTATGATTTGAACTCCAGGACGAGTGTGTTAGTTAATGTGACTGAAAAAATAAAAAAAAACATTTGCTCTCGCCAGGGCTCGAACCTGGGACCTTCTGCGTGTAAAGCAGACGTGATAACCACTACACTACGAGAGCTAGTCTTTTGATATAAATAACTGTAGTCAAATAATACAGTATAATGCAAATAATTCAATAACGATGTGACTTCATGAATTTTGATAAAAGATCATTAATATCGTAAATCAAGTGCATACGTCACGTGTTCCACTTAGACGGTGCCGTTTTACAGAAAAAAATTACAAGGGTAGTCATTTCAACCAAGGATTAGGCTTCTACCATAACATAGCATAGCATAGCCTAGCCTAGCCTTATGGAAGGATGGTGCTACCCTGGCGTGCGGTCTACAACATACAGTATTTACACAATAGACAGCGGTCTACAATTTGTCCAAAACTTAAAAATATGTGCTTTAAAAAATTTCTTAGTGAGTTAGTATTTTTAGGTTAGGTTAGTTTAGGTGAGCGCAAATTTTTCTGTAGACTAAAGATATGTCTGTAGACCGCAGACTATAATTAGCACCAAAGATAATGTGTCAGTATGTAAAATCAAGTTGAGACGAAGGACAGACAAATAGATAGATACAGATAAGAGGCGAAAAAAGTCAGACAAATGTACAGACATAAAACGAAGTAAAGACAGAGACTAGAGACTACAAGTTGATTTATCCAAGGGTAGGCCTCTAAAGGCCCAGTCTAGTTTGTCTGTGAATTATATATGATGAAACTAAAAGTAAGTGAGCACAGTAAAAAGAGGAAGACTATCCATAGATTTTTTGCATTAATTTAAGCGGGTCACTTGATTAAGCTCCCTAACGCCTGCCTTTGGGTGTTAGGTTTGGTTTGGTTGAGTTAGATTTGTTTGATTATTTTACATGAAATTGAAATATGTTTGGATAGGTTTGGTTAGCGTTAAGATGGTTAATTGAAATAAGCTTGGGGTTTATCTTAAGTGATCAATTTTATCCCCAAATTGGTACCAAGTATCTAATTTCGGTAAAACTTCAGTGTAATTTCGAGGCCTCACAAAAGGTACTGCAATATGCCGGTTAGTTTTGCAACTAAGGTTCGCCTACTTACCTTAGTTCTTTGTTGTCACACCAAACCAGCCCTCTATTTTCCTTCTACACTTCCGTGAATATCCAGACACTACTTGGTAATTATCACTTCCTGATGAACTCTTACACCACACGAGAAGAGCCTAACTGTCACACCAGATAATGTAAACATTAATTTAAGCGGCAGAGGCTCACACTGGAAGCTCATTGGCTGGCGGCATCTCGATGCTTTTTTTTTTTTTTTTATTGGGCGCCCCCCTACATCCTGTGTAAGGTGAAGCGTTTACAGCGCCCAACAGGGAAACATGCTAAGTTCATGCTTGCCTTTATGTCTCATGAATTCCCGGGCCGGTGGAAGTTGTTTGGACTTACTTCCTAGCCCCCATTAGTCCCTGATCACCTAGCAGGAAAGTAGGTACCTGTGGTAAGTCGAAAGTTGCGAATTCGTATTCTGGGAGTTGTTGGAGCTTCCAATAACTTGATGACATAAACCACTGACTCTTTAAGCTTCTACGCCCTTGACTCTCAATGCTACGTTGATTGACCGCGCGGAGGATACTCTGACCCAAGGTCTATCGAAGACTGTGTGCTGACCCTCTCGGCCTAATACTGGCGGATTTCTACCCCCTAAACAAGAACGGAATATCAGTAAAAAAATGATGAGTAGCGCCCACACTAGTATCCGCTAGACGGCTAAAGTACAGACCTTGCTCAGGTAATCAGGATGTGCATTTTCACACATTCAGTTCCCAGGAACATTCACCCTACGAACCTTTAAAACTGAATACTGAAGAGTAATTAAGTCTGCATATAAAGTATATTTTAGCTTACCTTGCCTATTAATACATACACTTCAGTAATTTGTTAAGCTATAGACAGAATGGTTGTCGCTCAACTTTCCATTAATTACCCCACAACCAAGGATCATTTACAAGTCAATACATATAAATTAATGTCTTCATTCCGTACAAATAATATTTCAGATTTCTGGTCTTAAGGTTCAGTATAGTTCTTCAAGACAGTGACGGATTTCCCAGTACTTGGCACCTTCAATTGCAACACATTATGATTTAAGGCCGGCTATTTTGTTAAGCTTTAGATTTTATTTCCCTAACCTTTCAGGTTCTGAATCCCAATTTGTGTGAAAATAACACGTATTCATGTCAAAGAGTTTCAATACATATCTACTGCTTCAAATAACACCTTCGTCTGGTTCTTTCAAAAACTGGTTTGCTCCAGAAGTACCAGATAAATCACGAGCAGTTGGTTACATGTAAGCTGTTGACACGAGAACATTACTCACAGAATCTTTCACTCGTAATTCCTTTGCTGTACCTGAGTTACATTCGGTAAATATACCCGAAATAAATTAAATAGTTAAGTAAATTTGCACCAAAAAATTGGGAGTAATAATTCTCTTGTTCACCAGAATCAAGTGATGTTGAATTTCCCGCTTAGATAGTGTTCAAAGTAGGTTTCCATGTCTTCAATTCATTTAGGTATTTATTGCTAACAAATAAATGCTAGTGTATTGTTTAAGATACAAAATTGAATAAAATTTTCGTGTAAAATAATACGTAACTCAAGGCGCCTGCGCGGCTCTTACGTGACGTCACTGAACTTGGCCTCCTCTGTGGCCTGACAGTTGCATCGATTGCTGCTCTTGTGATGGAGTCGCAGAGTTGAATTTCTCCACTTTTCTTGATTATCCAACCGTATGTATCACTCAGTTTCTATTTCCCTCGTGATTAATATCTGTAGCTGCCCTACGATAATTATGAAAGAACTAATATGTAAAAGATAACTGGGAATTATCAGTTTAACAGGAAATAAGTCTTGAACTCAATTTCTTACTGCCAGCGTGTAGCTAAGAAGGTGACGAATACATTCAGTTTAGTTTGTTCTGCAGGTGAATGTGTGGAGGCCAAGGGTTGCCAGGCAGGCCGAGTGAAGTAGAAGACGTAGGCTAGTGGAAGACGGTGGTACACCCATCAGGCTGTTATGAGAAAATCAATCTGATCAATTAGGGAGACTTGTTGTGTTTGGCAAGTCTTTGAAGGAACAGTGTGCTTTTATGAGTTTGCAGTTTGAGAAAGTCTACAATGATAGTTTAGAATCTATTTAAATGTGGGTGGTATGGCTGGTGCATATGAAATGAAAGCTATGTTTTAAGATACAGTATACGAATATTCATTAGTTTTACGAGTCATCCTAATTGATCGGATTGATTTTCTTCAGCAGAAAATTTACAAAATTTTTCTTCTTTTTATGAGTCTGTTCTTTGGAGTACAGTATTACCCCTTTTTCTACAAACTTAATAGAAGAAACGTTACCCCAACTTTTTAACCAAGGTTACTCTGCTTATGTTCTAACATATTGTACGAATAATCTTTAGCTTTAAATTTTCTAGATACAGAGAGCAGGCATTACTAATACCCTCTATTGTAAATTACACAAACCAACTATTAAAATGAAGAATCAATTAATGTTGTGAAGGAGTGACACTTAACAGTGTACTGTACTAGCATTATATATTTCTTCCAGTGTTGGGGTTTTTGTTTGTAGAACATTTGATAATACCGTACAGTACTCTAGGACCCTGGTCCCGTCCCGGCGTAACCATCAACTTTAAACAGTTTTTCGGTCAATAATCGTTTTTTCAGTATATATGTGTGTTTTGGATGAATTTCGTGAACCCAAGAAATAAGATTGAAGAAAAATCCCATTTGACAAGTGGCATACAGAAGCCTCTTAGGGGCAGTGTAGGCAAGGGGGGTAATCTCAGAAGACAATCACTTGCCCAAAAACGCCTAGACAAAAATGGTTTGTATTTTATTTTAGATACAAAGAGAAATACAGGTACTGTACTGTATACCAAGTATTATTAAATCCCGAGTGATCCTGAAACGAATATTAACCATTTCTTTTTTACAGAAGATAATTTTTCTTACCATAAGAATATAAAAAAAGTGGCAGAATTGTATTCCCATTTTTTTATTTTTTCCTGAACATAAATCTATTGTCACACTAGCTCTCCTATTGACTGTTTACATTACAGCACTATATGATGTGTCATAGATAAGATGAACCAATAAAACCTACCTAACTTAGGGTAATCTAAGACCTACTGTTCTGTAACATTGTAAAGATATCTTAGAAAATCAGAAAAAGAATATTAAGTTGGTTCAAAGACAGTAAATTTACCCATATGTTAGCTTTGCCACACCTCGATTATACGGTTCAGTTCTGGTGCCCCTCTTATAGAATGGATATAAATTCACTAGAGTCGGTGCAGCGAAGAATGATAAAAATGATTCCGGGACTTTGAAACCTTCCGTATCAGGATAGGCTAAAGAAACTTAACTTGCATTCCCTAGAAAGACGAAGAGTGCGGGGAGATATGATAGAAGTATTTAAGTGGGTGAAAGGAATCAATAAAGGGGATATAGATAAAGTTCTTATAATATCCGAGCAGGATCGGACTCGGAGCAACGGATTCAAGTTGGATAAGTTTAGGTTTAGGAGGGAGATAGGAAGAAACTGGTTCACAAATAGGGTGGTGGACGAGTGGAACAAGCTAAGCAACTTTGTAGTAAGTGTGGGAACTCTGGAAAGTTTCAAAAGGAGGCTAGATAGATTCATGGATGATAGAGTGTGGTAGTAACTCTCGACAGGAGCTGCCATGCACAGGCCAACCGGCCTATTGCAGACTCCTTATTTTCCTATGTTCTTATGTTCTTTGGGTGGATTTTGTGATCTTGACAAACTTCCCATTTCTATGTTCCTCCACAGGTAAACGTATCAGTAAAGATCCCAAAATTAAATAGACATATTTTTTACTTAACTTTTATCCTCTTTGCCACTGATTAGCTCGTTAGCCGCTTGGGCGGTCGGTCACGTCTGTATTACGCACTGTTGGCAAGTACTGGGCATGCACCGGCTCTTGAATGTATCTGAACCTGCTCCATTGTTGGTCAAGTCTGGTCTTGAAACAGCTCACATTTGGTGCCGTCACAACACTCTCTGGCCCCTATCTTTTTCCTTTTCTTACTTTGTATTGAAATACAAAACCAAATTGATGGAAATTGGGTTGGGGGCACAACACCCAAATTAATTTCACAATAATCAAATTCTGTACTGTACAGTATTATAATTTCAAAGTTGACAGGGTCTAAAACAAATATGTTCTGTACAGTACTTTAGTTTCTTGGTGTAACATTAAAAGTGACAATAGACTTAATTTTCATACCAAAATAAAATATATTTTCATATCATGAGGTTGAGTTTGATTGATATATTGTCTGTTGTCATAACTGATGTAGGTATACCAGAAACTGTATCCTTACAGGTGTTTAAACTCAAGTCAGGATGTGACAGTTAATCCTTTATGTGGTTAACTGAGTAAAGTGCCATATAGTAATGTATACAGGTATTAATATGGGTAATTTTAGGTCTGTAATACAGTATATTGATTTCTAATGTCATCTTTTACTTTCAGGTATTAAGCTGGTGGCATTTGCCACTTAAGTTGGACAACTATGGGGTCGTTGTTTCGCAGTGAAGAGATGGCACTTTGCCAGCTCTTCTTGCAAAGTGAATCAGCTTATACATGTGTCTCCGAGCTTGGGGAATTAGGACTGGTGCAGTTTAGGGATGTAAGTAGGAGGATAAGTTGTGTTGTATTCCAAGCTATGAGTAGCTACTGTATTTAAACTGGAGATTATTGAATGAAAGTAGTTTCCCTTGATGGTGAAGGGAAGTTATTTAGAAAAAGGAAAATTTAGTCTGCACTGCAGAGGTGAATGTACAGAATTTCAGGAATAAAACATTTGGTCTTATTTGTTTGGACAACCATTGAGGAATTCTTGTAAGATAAAATATTGTTTATACAGTATATAATATTAGTGGTGTTGAAATACTTCACGTATTTTATTGGAGGCAGTATTATCAAACCATTCATTATCGGTACAGGTACAGTATGTGATGTGTGTAGCTATCCGAACATGTAGTTAATTAATGTATATGTTTATTTTTTCTATAGCTCAATCCTGATGTGAATGCTTTCCAACGAAAATTTGTGAATGAGGTTCGACGATGTGATGAAATGGAAAGGAAATTGCGATATTTGGAGCGTGAGATCCGTAAGGATGGTATTCCGGTCCTCGACACTGGTGAGAACCCTGAGGCTCCCATGCCTAGAGAGATGATTGATCTTGAGGTAAGACAACACTGGTATTTCCTCATTGTAAATGAAGATATTTGAATTACAAGTTTAGAGGAGTCCAATTATATTTACCTTTGAAATACAGTGAACTTGTTTCAAACTTTCAAATGGGCATCATGGGGTACAAAAAAAAGGGGGGTGAACTGGGAGTCATGGGGTACAAAAAAAAGGGAAACGGAAGGAGAGATTCGTGTAAGACTAATGTGAAAAGACACCAGGAAGGCATTAGCCAATTAGAGATATCGTGTGTATAACAAGGTCACCACTCTAAAATTTAATGATGTACTAGTTTACAGTTCATACATTAGTAAACTGCCACTATGTGCTTTTTTGAGCAATTTACAGTGATGTACATTATGGGTACTATACTATTATCCAATAGGTTAAGTTTGAGAAGCTGGAAAATGAGCTGAAGGAAGTAAACAGTAATGCTGAAGCACTCAAGAGGAACTACCTAGAGTTGACTGAGTTGAAGCATATCCTCAAGAAGACTCAGGTGTTCTTTGATGAGGTATGGTGCTGCTGTCTGTGTTCATAGTTTTGTTTTATGGTGTTTTGCCTATTTTTTAGTTGTAAATATAGACTTATTGAATGACACTGTTGCTTTCATGGGATTTTGCTTAGATGTCATCTTCTGTAATTTTGTGTTGGTTTAAAGGAATGTGTTCTGAAATAAGTAAGAAATTTTTAATGTAATCTCCATTAGCTCGACATAGATTCACATATGTAATCTACGTATATTCTATACAGTATTAATATAAAGTACAAAGATAGTCTGCAAATACTGTATGATGTGATGCTGTTGCCTAATGAAAATTCAATGTGGCTGCAATAATCTCAGCAATTCCTTTTTTGGTTGCAGACCCCTAAAATTGCAAAATAAATTTCATGTACCTTTTCATGATAAGCAGAATGCAAAAATCTTTCCCCAAAAGTGGGGCAAATGTTAATATTTAAAGTGTATGTGCTTGTTGAAATTATAGGTGCATTCAACGTAATTTATTGGAAAGTTGTTCCTCAAATTATTTTATCAACCCAGTGAAGAAATTTTATCATAAACATGATAAACTTCAGTTTTGCTGTCCGACTGACTTTTCTCAAACCTTGTCCTTGGCCAACAACTAACCATATGCCAGATTTCATTAGAATTGGTTCTCAAGTTCTATACATACATTTTACATGTTCAAAAACATACAGTTACACTTCAACCCTGAAGGTGGAAGTCAAGAAAATTTATTTGTAAGAAAAAATATTATTAAGTTATAATCATCCTTAATTGACCGATCCAAATACTGTATAGTACAGTAATGTATTTTTCAACCAGTTAGGCATATGAAGCACGTGAACAGTATTTGTTATTTATTGTTTGATGGTTAACAGTTTACTTCTAAAGAAAATACTCAAGTGTTTCAAATTTTGTTTTATTACTATTAGTATGGATCATTGCAAAGCTGTTGTAATATTCTCAAATGCATATATCGTATAAACTCCATGGCTTTCATTTCTTGTCAGTCATGTAATGTAACTTGAAAGTACAGTAAGTGCAATTATAATTTGGTCTGGGTCTGGAATCTAGTCATAAATTTGCCTTTGTGCTGGATGCACAACCACACCTGCAGCATGCCACATATGGGAGTTAGATCTGTACAATATTTACAACTGTATAGGTCTGCACCTGCATAACACATAGACTAATGAAATGATCTCATACACAATCTCCTCTAATGCATGCATGAGCCAAGAGCCCCATAATCAAAATTGAGTGCTAAGTTTAACATGGGCAAGTCATTTGCCCTGTACTAATATGGGAAATAGTTTGGTTAATAAGGTGCATAAGTCCCATTCCGCCCTCGGAGTATAGAAATTTTTATAATTTCGCTACTATCAGCTTACGAGCCATTTGGGTGGTTGGTCTATCCAGTGTTAGTACAGGAGAAAACCGGGCTCTGGAAAACCTGTGATGTTTGATAGGGTCACACTGGATAACACCCCTCTCATGTGTGTCTGGGCCAAGCAGGATTAAAACCCTCGACATATTGGTGAGATATACTGTACACAAATTACTGCAGATTTTCATGTTTGAAAGAAGTACAAAATACTGTACTAGTATCTTTTAATCATCTCTAGTTTTCTCCCACTTTTGCTTATTATGGAATGAGGGGTACAGAAGCTTAAAAGAAAGTGCAAAATAGTGTAAAATGTAGACAGTGACAGGAAATGGCATAGACAGTTAGTGAAAGTATATACTTACCGGTATGCAGACTTATATCCTCAACATTTATACTCAGTTTACAAAGTGAATCTTTTCCATCCACACTTATTTACAATGCATCTGAATATTTTTAAGATGTTAATAAATTTGTTCATGGTAAAACTATTACAGCGTATTTAAATCTGAATGTTGAAGAATTAAGTTATGAATAAGCTTTGATATTTAGGAGTCCTGTTCTGTAAGGTTGAGAATGGAAAAGTGAAACTTAATGTAGGAAATTGGGAATTGGTGGAAAAGTGAAAGAAAGTGATAAGTCATAGTATTGGTAATTTGGATGTAGCTAAGTGTAGATTGTGCAAAAAGCACTTTTGACTCGAGGCCCTCATTTATTGAAGTTGTACCCTCACCGTTCATTAAGATTAGTTTCATATAGAGAGACCATTGATTTCATTCACAAGGGTGATACTGGGAGTGACAGTCTTTTACAAACGGAGATATTATATAGCTTCTCATAAAAATACAGGTACCTATATTTTAAATTTTCATCGAGATGAAATAATCCCCGAGAAAAAAGTTTGTTATTAATCATAAAAAATCCTGACATATTAGAGAGTGAGTATTTGTTGAATACAAAAGTCCAAGTTTGTTATGTCTCCTTCACTTTCACTCTTGTGTGAGGAGGAACAAGGGGTACAAAAACCTCGGAGAAGGGGAAGGGAGGGGCTACAGGAGAGGAGGAGTTCATGACAGAAAAAAAAAACATTACTGTCTTCTGGTGACATGCTGCTTATCTGCTGTATCACAAAACTTGCTTGTTGAAAAAACTAACTTGCTGGTTCACATAAAAATTTGTGGGACTGACCAGGATTGATTGCCAAATTTTTATTGACATTTCAATTTGGCTCATCATGCTTTCCTAACTTAAATAAATTTTCATTAATTTTAGATTGTTATCAGGGACTTATGGTTATGGTGGTTTTCATAGCCTAAGAAGTTAAAACAAATGGAAGTACTGTACAGCACAGTAGTTATAATACACTTATCCGAAGATCTTAATTTTGTAATTGAATTTGCTTTTCAAATTTTTTTCTCCTTTTTGAGACAAATTCTATATAAATGGCAAGTGTTATATCACTGCCTTACTACTGGAAAACTTTATCTAACAGTAAGCCTTATTTTTGCAGGATTTGTTATTTACTCTTTGTAATATGTTTTTCTATTATTGGTAAAGTCATTTCTGTAAATCATGCAATGTGAAAGTTATCATCGCATTAGGGTGTACTGTATAGCTAACCCACATAAATGTGGAAAATGCCATGAATCATTGATGATGATGATCTATTATGTTTTACTTTAATGTTATTGATATACTGTATTGTACCATATACATTAGTCCAATTTTTTTTATGTTATACAATAATTGCGTTAATTTTGAGTATTTATCAGATTTATCAATAATAAAATTTCCTTGGAAAATTTTAAAAGTACATATATAATCACACTTATATTGTTGGTATCAGTAATTTTACAAGATTTTTAGCAAATTGCCATCAAATTAATGTGCCTATTCTCTTTGGGTGTGTGCAAACTTGTCCTGTTGTCTTTTACAAAACTTGTTTTAGGGTAACTTAAATAATGTAGGGTTGCATTTGCCTAGAATGTACTAATTTTGTGGGGTTATTGTGTATGATGATATGAATATCAGAACTGTATATGATGGTGTGTTGAAGATTTTTGTGAGGGATGACTGAACTGTGTTTATAAGCATAACACTGGGTTTGTTATTGTTCTTCCTTAGGTAACAATCTACTGTATTGTTGTGATAACTATAGAGCCTGGTGCTTTGTGAACAGTATATTGGACTATGTACAGTGTTTACATTAATTATTTGTCTTTCAGATGTAGACTGGAACTATTTTATCTATGATGTTTTAATATTTTTGAGTCCATAACTAAGAAGAAAATTCTTAGTTATACTTTACAAAGGTTATTTTAGCTTATAGCACATATTGGTGGTTTAGTCATTGAATGTAAGATACTGTTGACAGGGAATCCTTGAATCACTGTTTTTAATATACAGTAGTTGAAGACTATACTAAAATGTCAGTGGTCAGGCATTTTTTTATCACAGGTGCAAGCTCTTAATCATTATATAAAGCTGCTAGGTTGGAATTACGAGGAACACCCTCTTCCTCATTTATCATTACTCATTCTTTCATGATGCCTTAGTAGGTAATTTCTGCTATGATGTTTCCATTCCTGGTATACCCATTAGTGAAATAACATAGGTTAACCAGATGGATATGTTAAGGAGCAAATTCATCAGGGTTCATTGGGTTCATATGTACCTCTCCTCTGCCTTGGATGGCCTTGCAGTGACCCGTCATGATGTTGTTCATCACCATTGATGCACCTTGTTTCATCAGTACTGTATAAGACAATCTTAAGTGATGAAACATATGTTCACATCCTCTGCCCAAATGCAAATTTGGCTGTCACCCTTGGCTGGACTGCACTGTAGCTTTAGGTTATTTGACTGACCTTACCTGATTCTATGTTAATGCAGTCTGCACTGCATTTCAGCATCATCTCTCAAATATTAATCTGCAATGTGTGACTTTCATTCCCACTTATCCTCAAATTTTAAGACTGATTTTTAGACCTATTGATGCAAGGGCCAATGGCATATGTTGGAACCTCATGATGTATGGATGGATAAGTTTTAATGAAATATATTATTTATCACTCATAGCTACAAGCTTGTGTGTACGCTACAGGGTACTAATCATTTCACCATGGGTCCAATGAATTAACGCCCACATTGTATGGGGCAAATCTGAATCTGATTTCAGCACAATATTGTAATTCAAGTACTACAGTAATCCCTTTTGGGTCATCATTTGTGACCCCAGATGGCTCTTCCTGACATCCTGAAGTGTTCACTTCAATGCAGAAACATCACTCATAACCAGAGTTCTGTACACCTTGCTACCAGTATAGTATATTGTTATACGTATACTATAACTGGGTATATAATCCCTCTATCTTTTAGCAAGCTTACTCTTGCATTGTTGTAGTTCTTCATGTATTGTACAGTACTAGTGACACTAGTGGACATCTAGTAACAATGATCTTTTGCTCCTAGAGTCCTTTTGAAGTCACATTGAAAGATTTTATGTTGGGTAATTTTTGGGTATGTAGTGACATGTTAAGTGTTGTATCTGGGGAGGCATTACATTGTGGACGGTGAATTTTGGCTAAGTGGACATTGTCTCGTCACTTATACACTAATGCCTGCATAAATAAATGGCAGTGTTTTCTTCTCTGACTGCGATGGTCATACTATTCTGTTATACACTACTGCCTGCATAAATAAATGACAATGTTTTCTTCGCTGACTGTGATGGTCATTACATTCTGTTATATTCAACTTTTATGAACAGTTTCAAGCAGTATTGGTGAATATTATGTTGAGTCCAAAATACAAGATAGAGGAAGTACTGTAATGCAAATACTGTCCAATGGAATGAAGTTAGGCAGAAATAATTCACTTAGACATTAGTATGTCTTGAGACAGAGGTAAGGGGCTGTGATTCAAAATCTACATTTATTATACTGTATTACTAATATGTACATCATATAACAATATAAATGAATGGCATAACTTGATACAGCCCCACAAAGCTGGCAAGTGGTGGAAGGCAGTGAGAGATCACTCCGCAATCTTAATCTCATTGTGAGGTATATGGCAAGCTGCCTCAATACCCATTCCAGTTCATCACTATCTCCAGATTATTTACAAACTGGGTTTACTTATTTGTGGTGTAAATTATACAGTATTTACAGTATTCTACTGTAATTTTGGGAAGATTTCATTAATCTGGGCTGGCAGTGGCAGATGCAGCCAGTTGCCTTTTAGTGCTCGACATTCATATGCTCCTTGTGTGTTTTACACTAGATATACAGTATTGTATTAATATGCTGATTGTTTTTTTTTATTTTTCACGTACTCGGGAAACCTTGGATAAATTAATTATTTAATTCTTAGCCTAATTTAAATCAGTTGCTTTGAGGGCTAACCACAAAAGGTATAAGGTGGTGCAAGTGGTAAAGAAACAGCCACATACAGTGCACTGTATATATACCGTTCACAATATGTGTACAGTATTCACAGTGGTAAATCCACTAAAGGTATGGAATTACTTTACTGTATTTTGGTTGTCTCAGATTTTAGTGCACCATAATGTGGAGTTCATATTTTCTTAATGATCTAGAAATTCATTACATAGAACATTTTTAATTTTAAATCAACAAAACCGTTAAATTTGAGCATATTTCACAATGGTTAATCAAAGGTATATATTCACATAAAAATAAATTTGTTAATGGCTGTCAGTTTTCTTGTACTGTAGTACCTACTTGGTGAATTACCTTTAAAAATTCTTGGCTCTTCCCCTGTCCTTTGTAGAATGCTTGGTGAAGAAGTTACTAAAAAGAATGAAGGCAAAAGAGGGAGAGGCTGTACCTGTATTGGTTTTTGTTTCTGGACTCTCTACACTGTAGCAAAGAATGGCCGACAAGTTTATAGATGCCTTAAGTTTTCTTTGTATAACATAGGAATACTGTACTGTACAACACAATTAACATTATGGCTATTTATTTTTGTCATCACACACATTTACGTGCTTCTTTGCATTTACATACTGTGTTTATATTAATATATTAATATTTGCTTTACTGCTTGTACTGTACCTTAGTGTGTATGCAGAGTACTAGATTTGTATCAAAAGAACTAATTTCATTCTCCAGGGTCGTTGTCAATATTTTTTACTTTTACTTTGGATTTTCCCCCTGGATTTGGGTGAAAGCTAAACTTTAAAGACTTTTAATGCTCATGTACTTCATGTTACTGTTCTCGGTCAATTTCAACACATTCCATTTTTTAGGAGCCTCAGTTGTTCTCAAGCAAAGGCAGATGTCAGGAAAAATTCATATTTAGGTATAATTAAATATTACTTTCATATTCAACTGGAATAATAAATCATGATGGCCTGAGATGCTCATATGTTGCACAGATGCTGATTGTCTATTTCAAAGATTGCATTTTAATAATTTTTACCTGTGTGGAAATCTGCCATGCAGGTAACCTTGGCTAGTGCAAACAAGCTTGGAAAATGGCCAGAAAACATTGATGATGACCAGTTACTACCTGAAAAGATTTGCAGACAATTTTTGACACTGATGCTTCTAATTATAATTTTAAGGTTTCATATGGATTAATATTTTTTATTAACTTACATAATCATACCTGTACTGAACAGTTATAGTCAGATCATAAATTCCTTACTACCTATCCTGTCATCTCAATAGGGCTGGTAAACACGATATATAAAGAGTTCAATTCCAAATAGGGCTAATTCCATTTTTAAAGGTTAGCAAAATTTATTTATTTTTCTCAGAGGGTTAATTTATTGTAAAATTATCAGGAATTAAGTTTGTGTTTGTAATAAATTTTGTTATCCCTACGAACAATAACAAGATTCGATGATGTAAAGTCCTGTCATGACCTTGCCACTCACTATGAAAACTCTGGAATTAACCAGAGCAGCTGTACAGTAATTACTATTCACAGTAGCAATTGTGAAATTGTTAGGTGGTAAGCTTGTCCAAAGCCCATAATAGTTCTGTGGATTAGGTGTCATAAAGGCACTGATGATAAGTCAACATGATGGATCTGGTGGTGCTTATACAAAATATGAGTTTAATGTAATTGATGTTTGAATATTGTCATCCTATACTAGAAATGATTGACAGTTTATCAAAAAAATATAAATAATATTTTGTTTATTTTATGTTAATGATCTCATTTTTAAATGAACCAAAAGTAAGTCTTCAAAAACTGCCTGGTAACTTAAGATGTACAATATTGTCATCAGCTCCTCTAATGTCATTTAAGATTATAATATTTTTGCTTAATTTCATGCCACTGTAATCACATCAATATTTAATGCTTATTTATATAAACTGTCACCAAGAATTTTATACTTGTTTAATAATGTAACTAACAGTCAAAATGAAAAAAAAATTGACATTGTTGACATCATAATAAGCAGGCACTGAAATATGAGTTCCTCAAATTAATAATTTAACAAGTCCACAATTTGCTCAGGTTATGCTGTTGCACACTTGTTTACATTCGATTTCTGTTCTTTAATTTACAATAACTTAACTGGTTTAGGATTACTGTATACAGAAAAGGAAATACCAGTTTAAAGCCAGATGCGAGAGCTTTATACATCTTTTGTTGATGTGTTATATTGTACGACACCGAAGGGGTAAAGGTAATTTATGATCTGACCGTATTGGGATGGCTCACTGTTTAACTTTTTTAAGACTAATACTCTAAGGAAAATGAGGAGTGCTTTTAAGACTTGTCATTGTTATAGAACTGTTTTTAGATTACGAGTTAAAGGATAAGATTTACTGCTTCAAATATGTGTAGATCATAATTATATCAATACAGTACTTTATAATTTAGTAAGAATTTATGGTGGAATGAAACTCTGTGGGTACTGTAGTAGTTTACTCTCTCAATTGAGAAATGCTTTAATTCATGGTAATCATTATTCATGGCAACATGATGCAGTTTCAACATTATTAGATATTTAAGTACTGTAACTACATAATCAGTTTTAGATTTATAATGTACAGTACTGTATCATATTAGATATTGGCTGTTATGTTTGGGATAAATTTTACTGTTGTGTACACAGCTTCCCTCTAGTCACATCAGTGCCCTGGGCTGAGCTAACCTATCTTATTTGGGATCTGTCATCCCACTTTGTGCAGGAAAGGGTATAATGGATTTCAACAAATGCATAATGTGGAGTTTTTATATTTTTGATAAGTCTCTATACAGTATAAGAAGAATTTGACTAATTTGCCAGACCAAACTATTAGTTTACAGTAGTTGACACTTATTCCCCAATACAGTACAGTGACCCCTCCGTTAACGAACTCAATCCGTTCCAGAAGGTCGTTCGTTAACTGAAAAGTTCGTTAACCGAAACCATTGTTTCAATGGGTTTTTGGGTAATTGGTTCCAGCTCACCGAAAATTTCCTAAATTCAACAAAAATGGTAGAAAAGTTCACTTACTTTGAGTTGTGTATGTAGAAGGCTCCTGGATGATGATGATGATGATGATGGGATTTAGAATGGGGGTGGAGGAGAAGTCACCCCATGGCACCATTTCACCCATAAAATTTTAGCTCTGGTGTAATTCAAGATTATTTTCTTTAAATCAACACTGCACTGCATTATATATTGTCAATATGTAATATATATTTCAAAATGACCAATAATTTGCTTGGAAACACAGAAAAAAAGCATTTAGTTGAAGAGAGTCTCAAGCAAGATGTTACCTCCAGTGAAAACAGAGAGAGACTAACTCCTGTTTGCTGTGTTAAAAGGCTGGATGCCGCGCATTAAACTAGTCACTTTACCTTCAATTATGTTCAATAATTGTTAAAATGACTAAAAAAAATTGAATATTAAACTTTTAAAATTATTGAATAGTATAAACTTCTTGATATTTACTAAAATAGTAAGGAATTTAAGCCCTAGAACCGATTAATGTATTGGCGGACTGATACTAAAGCTGGTTGCCCGGTCAGTGCAGGCGAAAACATGTTGAGGTCGGTTCGTAAGAACTTCGTTAACCGAATTTTTTTTCGTTAACCGAATTGAAAATCCTTATGGAAGGCAGTTCGTTAATCGAAATTACGTTAACCGACGTGTTCGTTAAACGAGGGGTCACTGTATTAGCAAACTAATGGAAATAGTGAACCCCATAATGCCCCATAAATAGCTAATTGGGAATTACTGTTATATGAATATTTAATATATTAAAACCTGTGTGTGTGTGTGTAATCATTTTATTAAAAAAATGTAGCATGTCACAGGTTTAGAGTTCCGTCATATCCTTGTACAGTATATAATTAGTGTGCATGTGATGTATATACTGTAGTTATTAAAAATTCTGGAATGGGCTTTAGTACCCATGAGAGGGTTAGAAATTTGTACTCTTGATTTTTTACTTTTATTTGTAGTAATACTTATGTTTTTTCCTTAAGGATGTGCCATAACCATATTGGATGTTTTTTATTAGTGTGACTGCCTCACATATTTACACAATTAATTACACAAGTAACAGTTTTTGTAAATCTGTTGAAACCCCGTGGCGTGTTTTCCACTCGAGCACTGACGAACCCCAAACCACCATCACCACAGGCTATGTACCCTCCCAACCTTCCTTACGACCAAGATGTGTATTTTGACGATGAAGAGCGAGTTAATCTGCTGACGGACTCATCACTTCACCAGCTCAAGCATATTGGGTAACTAGTGTAGTGTGGTGATGCTTCTGTTTTCGAGTTCCTACCGAAGTCTTCCTCTACTCTTCTACCATATGTGACAGGTTGACTCTTGGTGTGTTTTGAGTTGAATTGTATCTGGTTAGTGTAGGAAGTATTGTTTCAGAAATAATCGGCTTTCAACTCAGGTAAGATATCTATATTGGCATCATTACAAGACCACTGTGATGACATTTCTGTGTTGTATTTAAAAGTCACAAAATATAAAAAAGTTGCACCTCAGTATTTTGCTATTTAAACTAACTAATTATTTTCATTTAAGTGAATAAAATGTACAAGTATCTTCTTACATATCTATAATGATTCTTATGTAACAGTAATTTGTTATATAATAGAGGGAAAAATACTTTGGATACAACTAGATATGTCTGCAATCACCACTGGTATGTTCTAGTTGGGTGTGACCAGGTTTATTCATCAATCACACTTGGATCCTGTTAATACTGTACAAGGAAACTTAGTGACCTTTATTGCTGTTATCTGTCTCTGGGAGATTTAGCCACAATAGATTACCAAATGTATATCCATCACACAATATATATTGTTACCTGCACCTCTGACCAACATACAGTACTCCTATTCTGAAGTAGTACAGCTAAATAATTTGTCTTAATTCTTGATAGCGTATTTGGAAAAAGAAATGCACCACAACCCACTGCATGACACAAAATTTACGTTTCCTAATTTTCAGCTTTGTGTAAAAAAAAAAAAAAAAGTCGAGTATCCAGAGAAAACCTTTGTAATTCAAGAATACCATTAAAGAATTTGAAAGCATTGAAAGTTGAAATGAGTTATGTTGAGAATATCATGGTGAGACAGGTAACCTAAATACTCTACTGTAGTAGTTGATTAAAAGAAAAGTAAGTTTGGGTTCTGCGTAGTTATATAACATGCGGCCATTTATTGTAGAGGAATTTTTCTCACGCATCACCTTAGTTTTGTAAGTGTCATCACCAATAAGTTTTTGCATCTATTTCTCTTTATTTCTTCACTCAAACTCCTTCAGTTGGTTTGCTTTATAAAGAATATTACGGCTTTTAGTTTAATTTATTTTACTAGTGTGCACATCCTCACTACTGGAAGATTGAAATTGCAGTGTCTGAAGATAAAATAGTCATTAAGATATTTTTGTAAGAACAGTATAACAGCAAAAGAATCCAGCAAATAGCCACAGAGAAAGAAATTCTTGAGCCTAATGTGTCACAAACCTTCAGGATTAAATTGATTTGGTTAACGTGGTCTTATAATGGTGACAATATTTTATTGATTTTTTCTTAGTGCTTTCTGACAATATTTGAATGGCAGTTTGGGAGGTAAGTGGAGTGCAGCTTGCTAAATCCAGTTTAATCTTTTGACATACACTTGAGCATTTTAATTTTCCATATCTTCCAAGGCAACTTATAGCACAATCTGGGATGTAATATCCCTCTTTGCTTTAAGTATTCACCATTTTTTAACCTTGAATGTAGTGCCACGACAAGGGTAGAGATGAGATTTTATTTCAAGAAAAACATCTAAAAAAAAAAATGCATGGGCTTTTCTAAGTTACACAATTGTTTTAGTGGAAGAAAAAGTAGTTTTGTATTTTTTGTTTGAGATAATTTAGCAGTATTGATCCAACTTTATATGCTTCTCTGCTTATAATGTTGTTTGTTAATAGAAAACATGATAGAAGACTCATGGAGTAAAATTTTATTTGCTTTTGATAAACCATACTTTTATGATTTTATTTTTTTTGCACAAAAGCCTTGTAGACAACATGCTGGACATTTTGAAGGGATCATCCTACACTGAATGATAATACAGTAATGCCCTATTTCATAATTTTATTTTGATGAATAATTTATGCCCAGATTTCCTCTGAATTTTCAAATACACGGTCCAGCCTTAATAAGGTTGTCACAAAATTTATCGGATACATTATGGCATATTGTGTTTATTCCTCTCAACTTTAGTGGGGGGATAGATCAAGGGGAATTGGGACAGTTGAATGATATACCTGTATACGGTAACAAATGTCAAACAAATAAGGACTAAAACAAAAACTAAAAAATTATGTACACTGTACATGTGGTACTTGTACATCAGCTTATATAATGGGGTGTATTCCTGGTAAATAAAGTCAGCTGCTGAAAAAAAAAAAAAAATATGCTGCTTAAACTATTACGGAATATGTTCTGTATTCATGGAATGTGGCAGTCGAGTGAATACAGCACTTGCCTCCTCATCCATGGATCGGTGGCTCAATCCCCGGGCACTCCCAGTTCACCCAGCTGCAGATGAGTTTACAACTTGTGGAAGGGAATGCAATACTGGCCATGCTGCCTCCTTGTATACTGAAGGCTTGGTACACAATGTGCTGTAGCTTCACTGTTTGTAATGGGCAGTCCATACCTGTAGGACCCGCTTTCATTTTGTCAATTAATGTACCCCTGTACTATTATTCATATACAAAATTAAGATAAAAAATCTCTAAGAATATTTAGTTATATTGGGGGGGATTAAACAGGCAAATATGTGTTTTGAAACTGTAAAGGGAATTATTATAAATCACCCTTGTAGAGCTTTTTTACCCCTAAGCTGGAGCTATGAATTATTGAGTTTTAACTTGATTTTTTTTTAATGCTTATGGCATATCTTCTATGACGTTATGTTGCACTAAATTTGGGTTTCTATTAAAATGTGAAAGTAAATTATAATTATTGTATTTAAAGCAGTACTATTTTGGGCACCTCAGATATTCTCTACAGAAAAAGTTATTAATCTTGATTGACAAAAATCCGTCTGAGATAGATTTTGTACTTCTGGCTCAACAAATCAAGGGGAAAAAAAAGTCCTACTATATACAGTAGATGGAGGTGTCCTTATGATGGTATAAGCTTTTTTGTTAGTAATGGCATGGTATAAAATGGTGATGAATTAATAAGTACAGTACAGCCGTTTTCAGTTGAACTCAATTATTTCATCTTCCCACTTCAAAAACCACAGTATTGTACAGTTCTGTAGTGAGAGGACCATTTTCAAAATCTCATGCAAAATTTTTGGAGCTCAAAGTGAAGGAAATGTCAAATTTGAATTAAAAAAAATTACCGGGTACATTAGGAACAGTAATTTACTGTACAGTATTATGATCTGTAAGCTAACACATGGCACTTAAACCACCAAGTCACTTATTTCATTTTAATACAGTACTGTACTCCAGTAATTGTGTATGACAGAATTTTGTTATACTGTAATTTTCCTGTTGAGTGACTAGACTGAAACACCATTTATTAAGGTTGGACTTTCGTTCCTTTTGTGTGTTTACAGAACTGTGTGGATTTAGGCACAAGTCTGTGTGTTGTTGTTTGTTTAATTGTTGGATATAGGGTTACTGTACAGTTGTGTGTGTGAGGGAGATTTCAGTGAATGTAATGCATGCATCCTGGTAGTTCTTGGGTAAAGTTTTGTCAGCGTCACTTCTTAAAACCAACCCTCTTGATTCACAAATTTACAAAATGGATAGGAAATTTTCCCATTAAAGTAGCCACAGTATGAAGTAATTGAGGTGAAGTTGATGAAAACTGAGGAATATACAGAGCTTAAATTTGTAAGTTAGAAAATGTAGTTAGTAAAGCCAAAATGGTGTATGGGGAATGGCAGTGAATTGAAATGATTTAAGATATTGCACTCATAAGGTTAATGGTGATTTGAGGTGTTGCACTAAGATGAATAGTGAACTTTTGATATTGCACCCAGTATAGTAAAGTTAAAGCAAATAAGGTGTTACACTTAAAGTGATTAAAAATAAAATGTTTACACTTTAGTAAGGTGGATAATGATGCATGTATAGATGAAATAACGGTTAGAAAAAAGAGTACAGTACAGTATTGTATTTGGGTAAGGAATGGAAATACAGATGTGTAAATGCTTGGTGAAGGAAAACCCAAATTACAGTACATTATTTGCATGGAGCACTCTCCTTTCACTAAGGTATCAGCTTCAGTATTATAGGGTGAGTTATTTACTTGGAGGAATTATTGGAGAAGTTCTTAAAGTTGTAGAGGTGCTGGTCGACTTCATCCAACCTCAGATGTTGAGTGAGTATCATTCTTGTTGCTATTAAAGTTTGCTTCTTCCTTGTTAGTGCTTATAGAGATCAGTGTTTTGCCATTTTGTTTTTGGAAAGTAGAATACTGTATCATGTTTAAACTGTGGTCTCCTGTTCTTAACAAATGTAAATGTATTTAATTCATCACATACTCTAACTATACAATTAAAGGCTGATTTCTCTGCTTGATGTTAGAAAATTTAATATCATAAATATTCCAAAATGGTAATAGAACTTGGCACATAATGGTAAGAAGAAATTCTCCGAACATAGTATTACTTTATACTTGTAATCTTTCTTTTTCGTTGCTGGTTGTTAGCAGTGCTGTGACACTGATTTCACTTCAGAAACTGAGTGGGGATGGTGCATTTACATCCAGAGGGATGGAAAGGAAGTAAACAAGCTTGCATGGTTCATGGATCTAGTTTTGGCATACTTGTGCTCTCTAACCCTTGTCTCTTCCTTTTGCATATCCTCCCACTGGCATTCTTTTCAAGACTGGTTTGTATTCTTAACCTTCCTAACAAGCATTCCCACCCATGTTTGCCTTACAGTTCAAGAGTAGTATGCTGCTCAACACCGTATAGCCAGCTGCTAGTGGATTGTGGGGTAGTAAAAAAATAATTGACAGTTTTGTAGGTGAAACAGGACAAGTTTGCACCCTTGGTTGGTTTGTAAACCATGTAAAAAAAGCCCATGATGTTTTTTTTTTTATACAAATTTTGTTATAACAAATAATTAAAGAATTGTTTCCCCCTCAATTGTGGCTCACACTCTACCCTTGTCGGAAACCACTGTGGACACTCATGGGCCTCCATTTGCGGTGGATCTTTTGATTTCATCGAATATTATTGAATGTTCAGCGAGAGGGTAG